TGAAGGCTTCTAACGATAAACAAATGGACAAGCACAGATAGGCCATTGTGTAGCTTTGCGCTTAACAACAAATAAACTATACACTAGTCTTCTAAATAGTTCTGACTTGATTAATAATGTCGTGCGAATGGCGTAGGTAGAAAAATTGAATATAAGACTTTAAAATAATTTCTAGTTTTTTAATTCACATATATACCATATTTTTAACTTTTCTTTATAAAAATATACTTTAAAGCAACTAGAAAGGCTGGACTCCGCACTTTTGGTGCTCTACCCCACTGTTCATCACATAATAATAACCCAAGAATTGAAGGTGGATGCTGTCGCCTCTAATTTGTCAGTTCAGAATCTGGAACACTTATGTGCAAATAGCCCTTGTGCAGCTTTGAACAAAACTCTGAAACCAACAAATAAAAAGATTTAATAATTTCTTTAAAAAAAATTATAATGAAGTATATTGCAAGATAATTGTAAAATAAGATGACCAAGTTACTTCTTTTTTGTGTTGAGAATAGTGCCCCCGCAAAGTGAGTCGACCCGTAGGGGACGCGAATTGGCATCTTTGAAGTCAAGGAGAGATTCAATTTCTTTTACTTATTTTTTTCTTTTTCGAGAAGGGGCGCAAATTTATATCTCGCACAGAGTTCCATCAACGCGTACGGCCATGGGGAGCAAATTTATATCTCGCACAGAGTTCCATCAACGCGTACGGCCATGGGGAGCAAATTTATATCTCGCACAGAGTTCCATCAACGCGTACGGCCATGGGGAGCAAATTTATATCTCACACAGAGTTCCATCAACGCATACGGCCATGGGGACAGTTAATAATTTTACACTTATGTCCCCTGAAAAAAACAGTCCTTAAAAATAACCCAATCATATTGAAATGGCAAATACTTTTGTGTAAAAAAAAAGAAAAAAGAGTCAAAGTGCAGACTTTGCTATGTACCTATCATAACAGTATTGTAACCGAAACTAAAATCATTATAATTTTAACATTATCCTTTACTGGTTTATTTACCTATATTATATCCAAATATCAATTTCCTAACGCATTGAAATGAATCTCAAGCACACTTGGTGTAGCAAAGGGTTAATTTAACTTGATACTCAACGTGGTTGTGTTCTTCAATTGCGTTCTCTTTTCGTCAATCTCATTTAACAGCCCATAGTGGCTCAGCGGTAAATCAGAGGACTTATAACGCTAAAATTGGGTTTCGATATCTGTGGTGGAGACAGCACAAATAGCCCAACATGTAGCTTTGTATTTAACTGACAAAAACAAAATTAATTTAGCATGTTCGGACTACATGCCAACTCACAAAACTACGTTTCTGAAGACTCTTGATATGGGAAATTTTATAATTTAGAATTTAACGCCTCTTCCAATATCACTTCTTTACTTTTGATGAAACATATCTGGCCATCTTATTAGAGAATATCATTCCAACAAAATTAACTGCAAGGCAAAATATTCATTTGGTTTTGTAACATCTATGGAACTTGCATCATTTTACTAAGTGTATATATGTATTCAGTGCAGTTTTCCGAACATTCTAATAACAAATACTATTATACTATTACTTCATTATATTGAGGCCGGATGAGCTTCAGTAATTAACATGAATCTGAGGGTCCGTGGTTCGCGTCCGTTGCTGCAAAATTGCGCTCAGTACTTTGAGGCCGTGGAAGTGTTATAAAGTGACGGACAAATCCCACTATTCAATTAAAGCATTCCAATTGTTGGTGGTGTATGCTTTTATTAGCTGCTTTCCTTTTAGCCCATTAGTTCAAAAGTAGAAACTGTTGTGTAAAGGCAGCCTTTGCGTAGCTTTGCGCGAATTTTTTGAAACAAGCATATCTGTTCTGATAATAAATAAAGTACAAATAGTTGAAAATGGGATATAAAATAATTATTTAAGATATGCAGTCGTTACTTCAACTTAAACCCAGCATCATCAAGATGCTATTATTAATACGAGTTAAACGTCGACGTATTTTAATTAATTCTTTTACATCCCATTTATAGCAGTATTTGATCCTTATTACTAACATTTATCAGATACCTTCACGATTCAAACAAATATATTCTGAGTTAATGTCCGTCAAAGTACTACTTCTTCATTGAATTTTAAGTATAAATGTTTCTGTCATTACCACACATTTCAAGTGGTACTTCTACACAGGACAACATCATTATTACCTCCGCCACCGAAGGCGATGGAGGTTATGTTTTCACTCCAGTACATGTGTGTGTGTGTTTGTCAGCAAGATTTTTCGAAAACGGTAGAATGAATTTTGATGAAAATTGGTATACTTCTGGACTATTGCCCAACTTAGAAGTGATTAGTTTTTGGAGGGTCAAGGTCACGAAAATCCAAAAAATACCTATCGTTAACATGGGGACCGATATTTCATACTATTTATTGCTCTATAAGTCTGTCACAAATAATCGGATTTTGAAGAAACTTGGTGGGCATATATAGAACATTATTCCTCATTGTCCTTCCAAACATGGTCCATCTCAGTTGATAAAGACGAACAACGGTCACATTTTCGTATTTTATGAGGGCCGAATGTGACCAATGCTGTGTGACGCACCCCTCTATTTTATTAGGCAATGAAATACGTTACATTTCTCGTCGAAATGTCTCGCACGCTACGCCATCTAGTGATAATTGTTAAAACTAGAAAATCAATGTTGTTAACATTACATTTGTTCTCAAATTCGATGACGAGGAACCCACTTTGAGACTAATAACGCTTGGAGACGGTTTGAATGGGTAATGAAGAAAAACTACAATATAAGTTTAACATAACAGCATATGTACAACGTTTCGACAAGGTTTTGTCATCATCAGGTACAAGTAGTTAACGACAGCGGAAGTCACGTGACTCTAGTAACACGTCATGATATTCTAGAAGGATCTTGTCTGTTCGTGGCAACTCTAGTCTTCTCTACGCGCCCTCTATTCTTGTATATAAGTGCGCTAGATAAAGCGAAATTAATTAATCGGAATTGAATAGCGGACAGAGAGATTGAACATATAGACGGACAATTGAGTCAAGCGCGGTGGTAATTAAAGTTGGTTGAGAATTATAGCGTATGTTTAAGTGACTGTGGAAATTAAGTGTATTGCACACTTGTATTGAGAAAGAATAAACTAATAATGGTTGGAGACGGCTTGAATAGGTTAATGAAGAAAAACTTTAATATAAGTTTAACATAACCAACATAAGCCATTAAACACAATATTCCTGTCAACGTCAAATTCTCACAAAAACCCGGCCCTAAATTAAAATAGTTACTAAACAAAAATTATTTAGAATCACACAATACCAACGTCATTTACAAAATAGCATGCAATAACTGCCCAGAATTCTACATCGGAGAAACAGGAAGAAAATTGGAAACCAGATTGACAGAACACAATAAAAAACAGTCCCATGTTTTTCACCATTGCAACCCAAAAACCATAGTATATCTATTAAAAACACAGTCAATTTAAACAAGGAAACCAGACA